GGGCCCCGTCGCGCGGGGCGGCCGCCGGGCTTGGGCTTAGGGACTGCGTGGACCCGGCCCGGGGCCCCGGTGTGGGTGCTTTGGGGCCAGGTGCCTGGCCCGACGCCGCTGACCCTGCTCCGGGGCGGGGCGCCGCTGTCCGGGGTCCGCCAGCTGCCACGTGGTCCCAAACTGTTGCGATCTCTTCACTGCCCCCTCCCCCCCATTCAGCCTATCCCATGCTTCTCTTCCGGCTCAGATCCCATCCGGCCCTGGGTCAGCTCCAGTCCCCGCTGCTGCTGCTGCTGCTGCTGTCTCCCGAGGCCTGCAGGGCCCCGGGGGAGGTGGCGGCCCGCGCGGCTCCCCGCCCCCACTCTCCCCGGCCCGCGGCTTCCTCGGAGCCGCTGCTGAAGAGCCGCAGATGTGTGACGCCCCGTGAGACCCCTGTGGGCGCGCGGTTGTGCTTGGTTCGAGCCAGTGCCTGTGAGTCACTTCTTGCAGATGTTGGGTCCTCCTGCTGGTGGGGATTCCTACAAGATTGCTCGGTCGGGACGTGATCTCACCAACCGCGATCGTGGGAGTGGCCCCGCGCTGTCAGTTTGAGGTCTCCGTTGGCCCCACGTGCCCCGGCCCAACTGGCCATAGATACGGATAACGTGGTGCTATTTCCCTTTGAGCGGCACCTTCCGAAAAGCTCCTCCACCCTGTTACCGGGAAAAGGGGTGCTCCTCCCTGTGTGAGACGGGTCGACGGCGGGGTCTTGTGTTCACATTGGCAATGGATTCGCAAACAGAGATGCAGAGAAGCGGGATGAGCAAACGGCTTCATAAAGCAAAAAAGCGCGCACTCCCTGGAAAGGCGAGCGGGCAGAAAGAGCCTACAAAAAGCTGCTACTTCTGCACTCGACTATTGTTGAGCTATCGCTTTTATTCTCAGGGCTACTGAGGCGTGGGTTTTGAGGTGGGTCTTAGGGCTGGGTCTCTGTTACTCCTCCCTCGCATAGGGTGGGGGAGTTTTAGGCCTTATAGGGCCATACTGGTACTGTCATGGCCTCCCACTCGGGAGGCTCCTCTAAACATTTTAAATTAATAACATTACAGTGAAAGCGTATCATCATCTTAGGTCATCCTGGCTATTGACACTCATACTCCAGGGGTCTCTAAGCTATGTAGTTCTTGCCTTGGTGGTGGTTTTCCGCCGCAAGCATCCTAAGTTGACGGATGTCAATGCTGTAGGTGTCTCTGAGAAGGGTGGAAGAGGAAGGGGTGAACTTTCCTATAGCTAGGTCGCTTGCTTGTATGCATGTTTCTGCATTGGCTGCTGCAGACAGGCATGAGCTTGGAACTTTCCTATAGCCTTGAAGCTTTTCCTGATCTAACCTGCCTACTCTTATCACCTTGACCTCTCTTCTTTCACTCCTTTATTGACGGCTCTCAAATCCACACATTCTACCTGGATGTTTTAGCCATATTTCTACCTGCTTTCCTGTTGTCTGTTTAGACCTTTCCACCTAAAATTATCACATCTGGTGCCAAATTTTACCTCTTCCCAGCTCCCAGCTCCACTTCCCCCCGTGGTGTCACCATTCTCCCAGCCACCTGGGGTGTTCTTCTCATTAGAAGTCTTAATGGCCAGTCAGCACCTGCTTCTGGACATCTGCTAGCTGGCCCCTCGCGGGGATTCCTCTAATGCAACACCCTCCCGGGTCTTCTTCCTGCCCCAAAGACTGACATTGCCTCTCCCAGTCTATGAGCACAGAATCTTTTCACCTCAGCATCACCCCAAACTGAGGCACCCACAGGCCTCTCCAGCCCACCCAACACTCTCACCTCCATCCCTCCACTGTCTCCTGATTGTCATCCCTCACTGACTCCAGCCTCTGCCCCTTAAACTCATGCTGTCTTCTTCTTCCCTGCTTGGGTTAGTTAGGATGCTTTCTGCTGTAAAAGACAGACTACCCAATTCACATGAGCTTAACCAAAGGGTTGATTGGCCGGTATAAAAGAGCCCAGTGCCTGCCAGCTTCAGGCCTGCCAGCTTCAGGGATTTAGTTCCAGGGCCTCAGGGACTCACCATCTGAGCTTTCCTTCCTTTCATGTGAGCTAGACTTTCTAACTGACGTGAGACCCCAGCAGATCCCGGCTTACAGTCTCACAGCTCTGATTCCGGTGGAAAAACAGCTTCTCTTTGCCCACGGTTCCAACTGGCCTTGGGCTTGGCTCTGTTTGGGAGGATTGAGCTACCTTCCTAGCCATGCTCCCAGCCACTGTGACCCCATGGTGGGTCAGTTCTCTCCCTTAGCCACTTTTTCACCCACTACAGGATCCCTTCTCTGTCACAGGGAGACTAAATGTGACTCAGGGGCACCATCTCTAACTGTTTCTCAGCAAACTTCGTCACAACAAAGCTTTGCTTTGCTGCAGGGCACAGGGGATGCTGTGGGCGGAGTCTCAGCCTGAAAGGGGGGCATAACCCTTCTCTGCTTTCAGTGTCCTCCTCAACCTACCTGGAATTTCTGTCTCTGTTCCACCCCCTTGCTAGGTCAAGACTTGATACAGGGATGGCCGCAGGCCCTCGCGGAATCAGGCGGCACACTCTCCTAGACACACCCCCTCTAATATCTTTCTTTCACGTCCGCCATTTCCCCAGGACATCTATGCCACCTTCCATGCTGGAGGAGGCAGCCCTTCCTGCCTGCCTGTGGACTTTGGGTTCTGAGTGGTACCTGCTGAGTCTAAAAGGGGGAAGGACCTACAGGGACGGAAAAAGAAAAGCTTCCTACTGGGAAAATAGACTTGGAGAAGCATCTCAAGACCATTACTCCCATTAAATCTCTTTCCCTGTGGTTGTTGAAGAGGTAGGATGTCAGCCCGAAGCAGCTGGTGACCGTCTGGCCGGCACCTGGGGAGACCATGCCAGAGATTGTAGCTGACAGAGGAAAGCGGAGTGGAGAGACAGGCTGCCTTTCTGTCTTGCCTGAGACCCATATACTAAGGGATTTTTCAAGTTCATCTTCCAATACATCCCCCATTTCCCCCCCAAGCAAATTAGAACTGAATTTTCAGTCACTTGCAACCAAGTCCCAACTAGCCCCCAGCACAGTGCCTGCCACAGCCATGCCTGCAAAATGGCAACTACCATCATCATTATTCAAACGATAGAGAAGAAAGCCATGCCCATCGGTGACTGCAAGCCGAGAAGAAATGACACAGTGCAGTGCCAGGTGCTCACACCCCTCTTCTCCCTCCTATTCTCAGCCTGCTCCTTTGTCCTTTCCACACTCACATCCTTGGCCCCTGGGGAAACCCTCAAAACTCATAGAAAGCTGAGCCCACCCATCTTTAATAAGATAGACCCAGGCTCACCCAAGTCATGAATATTCTGCTAGACAAGCATATGCTGCCATTTTACACAAGTAATCCCTGCCTAGACTGTGAGCCAGAAGCAGCTGCCCGTCTTCAATTCAGTTTCAATCCATTAAGCCAAAATTGTACAAATATTTGCACAGCTGCTTTTGTCCTTCACTGTAGACTTAGAGAAACCATGGGCTACTGCTCCCATGCTTAAAGGGACTTTGAGGGAAGACAAATAGTCTAGGAGAGAGATTGAGGTGATAGATGACAATACCGGGGAGTTTTCCAGGGGTGATTTGTTTATTTGCACCATGTGTTTATGGTGTGGTTTATTTGCACCATGTTCTTAGTGTTTTAGGCCTGTGCTGCCTGTAATCCTGCCTTATGACAGCATTTATACATCCACCCAAAATATTTCTGTTGTGCCCACCACAATATACAGGTTGTAAATATTATTTTAAAATTCCACTTACCATGGGTTTTGTTTCTTCGATTATCAAGGAAGTATTCATTCATTGTCGAAACTTACAAAAATACAAAGTACACAAAAATAAAGATTGAAATTAAAATGATCCATAATAGATTTGTGTTGATAGTAGACAACATCAAACCAAGATATAAAGAGAGAAAATCATCCCACGCACACTCTTACACCAATCCTAGTGACCCCAGGGCCTCAGGGAGAGAAATATCTTGCAGAAAGCTAAGGGCCATTTCTTAGGTTCTTGCCAGAATGCTGCACTCTTTCTAACACATGAATATTTTTAAAGATGCAATCCAGGCCACCTCCAGGGTGGTCTGTTCTCTATTATTTATGTATGCATGATTCATTTTACTTACTACCAGCTGTAATCTCTTCTCCCCATCCCGGCAGGCTTATTATGCAAGTCCCTTCCCCCTTCTGAGAGCAACTAGGGAGGACAAGCTCATTTTCCCATCTATCTGGGTGAAATTTAATTAGAAAGGCAAATCTGGAAGAACAGAACACAAAATAACCACATTAAATAAAAATAAGAGATGACTCTGAACCTGACCTTGAGCCACAACATACCCCCCCCACACACAAAGAATGACAGTAATATGCTGAATCATCTATCTAAATATTAATTTTTGTCCTCTAAACTCTGAACTCAACCAAAATATATTTCTAAAGAAAAAAACTTAAGCACTAGGTGAGCTCATACAAATCACTATTAGAAGTCATAAAAAGAACCAGGTGTGGTAGCGCATGCCTGTGGTTCCAGCTACTTGGAAGGCTGAGGTGGAAGGATCGCCTGGGCCCAGCAGGTCGAGACTGTGGTGTCTGTGAGCATGCCACTGGCCTCAGGCCTGGGCAACCAAGTGAGGCACCTACTCAAAAAAAAAAAAAAAAAAAAAAAGAAAAAGGAAAAGGAAAAGAAAAGAAAAGAAGTCATAAAAGGACAGCAAGGATTCTGGCTGTCTATTTCATCTAAAAGCGCCTGGTTCACAAGTAAGTACTTTATAAAAATTGAATGGATGGATGGATGGGCTAAGAGCTTACCACTCTTGTTTTATAATAAGAAGCTATCAGAGCGGAAATGAGAGAAGATTGGGCACCTGACAGAGTTTTCTGTAGTCTTAGCTTGGGAGAAAACAACTATAGTTCAGGGTTCAGACGAGAGATGGCACCTAGGTTACACCCCAAACTTCCAGTTAGGACCCAAAACAGAAGGGATGGAAGCTAGAAAATAGCCTTAAAATGCTGAAAGTCATTGCCAATGTACAGGTCTATGCCCAAGGGTCACAGAGGGATCAGCTTGCCTAAAATCAACCAGACAGTGAGATAGTGGGAATCCTAGGACTAGAATCCAGGCCTCCTGAGCAGTTAGGGCCCTTTTTACTGACGACAGCATTTTCCTTTCTGTATCTATATCTGTATCTATATCTATATCTATATCTATACACACAGAATGCCAAAAGAATGCATACACATTTTAAGAAAGGAAAAAAACTATGAAAATTGTAGATGAATGCAAGTCATGTTTGACTTCCACAATTACAGGAGGTGCTAAAATTACCATCAGTGTCCAGACACTTCTAATTATGGTGAAATAAAAGTAATACATAGATAACATCTCTTAAAATGTGTATGCATTTTTTTTTTTTTTTGCATCCCTGGTATATATATTCCAAACTGCTGAATGAAAAGCAAATAAAACATCTCAGTATTCTCCAAAGAGAAGTGGAACAAATTTATCTTATGATAAGTCAGTTTGAATTGTTCACAAACTGCATATCAAAGCCACTTGAGGTCACCATTTATCTCTGTGTATCCAGGTCACCTATATTCACGAACGCTGGCTGAGTTGACTCCTTTGCCTCCAGCTCAGGTCTCTGTGGAGTGACAGACTGGAACACCCCACTGCTTACTCCTTGATTACAACAACCTCGCAATACACTACAAGCTCCATAATGTTCAAAACTGAACAGGTGCTTTCTACCTCAGAGAGTAGCACTTCTGCCATCTTTCCTAGTCTGCAAACTAGAAATGTGGGAGAAATTCAAGACACTCACACTCTTCTCTCCTTCATCCTCATATCTGGTTCTTTCCCAAGCCCTCTTTAATAGACCTCTGATTTGCCCAATCTGGTCCTCTCCATCACCACTATAGTTGAAACCACAGACCTGTTTTCTATCACCAGAATAGTTGGCATTTTCTTGAATTTTATATAAATGAATTTATATGGTACGCATGCTTTTTACTGGGTTTTTTTTTTTTTAGCACAATTATTTTGAAATTTATTCATGCTGATGCCTGTATCAATAAATTATTTTCGACCATGCACGGTGGCTCACGCTTATAGTCCCAGTGTTTTGGGAGGCTGAGGTGGGAGGATTGCTTGAGGCCAGGAGTTTGAGATGAGCCTGGGAGGCGTATCAAGACCTTATCTCTACAAAAAACTTAAAAATTAATGGGACATGGTGGTACGCACCTGTAGTCCTGGCTACTTGGGAGACTGAGGTGACAGGATTGCTTGAGCCCAGGGTTCACTATTACGTCAACTATGGTAGCACGACTGCGCTCCAGCCTGTACAACAGAGATAGCTCCTGTCTCAGGAATAACAACAGCAATAATAATAAATATGCTCATTTTCATTGCTGAATATTATTCTATTGTAAAGATGTTCCACAGTTTGTCTTTGGATTCACCATTGATGGATTCTTGGATTGTTTTCAAATTGGTCTATCAACAAAAACTTCTGTGAACATTCATATGCAAGTATTGGTACTTGTACCAATGAACACATGCCTTCATTGCTTTTGTGTAACTATTGAAGAATGGCATATGGTAGGTATATGTTTAACTTTTTAAGAAACTACCAAACTGTTTTCCAGACTGCTTAATACCATTATACACTCTCATTAGCAACGTATGGAAATTCCTGTCGTTCCATATCTTCACCAACACTTGGTATGGTCTGTAGTTTTAATCTTAGCCTCTCTGGTGGGTGGGTAGCAATATTGGATTGTTGCTTTAATTTGCAGTTCACCAATGTTTAATTATGTTGAGTATCTTTTCATGTGCTTATTTGCCATCTGTACATCTTCCCTGGCAAAACGTCTATTCAGATCCTTTGACTGCTTGGTTGTTTGCCTTATTATTGAGTTGTAGTGCTCTATCTATATCCTAGACACAAGTTTTTTGTTTTTTTTTAAATCAGATATGCATTTTGCAAATATTTTCTTCCAGCCTGTGGTCTGCCTTTTTCATTTTCATGGCAGTGTGTTTTGAAGAACAAAAGTTTTCCATTTTGATGAAGTTCAGTTTATTGGGTTTTTTTTTCTTTTATGGTTCTTTTTGTTTGTTTTGTTTTATTTATTTATTTATTGTTTGAGTTGGGAGTCTCACTCTGTTGCCCAGACTAGAGTGCAGTGGCCGTTCCCAGCCACCACAACCTTGACCTGCTGGGCTCCGGCGATCCTTCTGCCTCAGCCTTCCGAGTAGCCGGAACTACAGGCGCGCTACCACGCCTGGCTAATTTTTTTATTTATTATAGAGATGAGGTCTCACCAAGTTGCCCAGGTGAGTCTCGAACCTGCGGGCTCAGGCAATCCACTACCGAGCCCGGCCTTTTATAGTTCTTGATTTCTTTTTGTTCTCTTTAAGAAATCTTTGCCAAACCCAATGCCACTAGTTTTCTTCTAACTTCCTCCAGAAGCTTTATTATTTAACTCTGATATTTAGGACTACGATTCATTTCAAGTTAGCTTTTGTATAGGTTGTGAGGTAAGGGTAGAAGTTCAAGTTTTTGTATATGATTTCCAATTGTTCTAGCAACAGATATAAACATCATCCTTTCCTCATTGATCTGCCTGGATGCCTTTGTAGGAAATTAATTGGTTTCTGTTTGTGACCCTGTTTCTGAACTCTCTCTTCTGTTCTGTTAGCCTATATGTCTGTCTTATGATAATACCACACTGTCTTGATTACAGTGGTTTTAGAATAAGTCTTGATATCAGGTAGCACAGTCATCCATTTTTATCTTTTTCAGAATTGTTTTGATTGTTCTAGTTCTTTTAATTTCCATATACATTTTAGAATCAGTGTCTGTGAATTTCTACCAAAAAACAAAAATCTTGCAGGTTAGGCACAGTGGCTCACGCCTATAATCCCAGCACTTTGGGAAGCTAAGATGAGAGGATTGACTGAGCCTAGGGGTTCAAGACCAGTCTGCGTAACTTGGCAAGATGTCATCTCTACAATAAATAAATAAAAAATTAGCCTGGCATGGTGGTGAATGCCTGTACTTCCAGTTACAGCCAGTTGAGCCCAGCCAGTTGAGGCTGCAGTGACCGTGAGCATGCCATTACACTCCAGCCTGGGGGACAGAGTGAGACTCTGACTCAAAAACACAAAACAACAAAAAACTTGCTAGGAAATTGACTAGGATTGCACAGAATCTACAGACTACTTTGGGAAGTGATATTAACAATATTGAGTCTTCTGGCACATGTACATCATATTTTTTTCTATTTGTTTAATAATTTATCTTAGCAATTCTTTATACTTTTCATGGTACAGATTTCACACTTTTTTTAAGTTTACCCCAAGGATTCCAAATTTTTGATGCTGTT